AAACTGCAAACAGACAACATAATGGTGACTTTAGAAACACAACTAGCTTGCCAGATTTGCTATGTGTGCACTACTCTTCTCTATTGGTAAACAGGTGACCTAGCCATTGCACCTACTAGGTCTGGTACATGTAAAGTACTACTAACCACGGAGCAGCTTCACATGAAGGTCTTATCAACACCCCCAACTCACTATATCTAAACTTTAGATTTTTATTTCCTTCACAGTTAAGCCAGCTTCTTCTCATTCCCAAGTTTTATGGATGAGTCACCAATTTGGTCACCAAGAGTCTGAAATCTCCATCTAGTCACCAAGTCCCATCAAGTTCCTTTGCCAAACATTTTTCACATTTATTCTCTCCACTGACTTCTAGTGCCTCTATCTTGGTAAAGGGTTTTAGTTATTCATTCAACAAACACATACTGACACATTATGCTAAGCATAATATCGCAGGTACAATGTTAAGAACATGGAAGTAGTATAAAGAGGAGGAAGACTTTGTTAAATCCCCAAAGAGTTTACAATCAGGGTAGGGAAGATACCATGATAAGTTTATATAGTAAGGGTTATGGGAGGAGGCATGAATAGGGGGCAGGTAGTATCATGCCCACACCCAAGACTGGTAAGGCAAACTGGCCCCAAGTTATGAAGTGACTCGTTCTATTTCTAAGTTTTTGTAACTCTGATTTATGGGGCATCTGGCTAGCTCATTTGTTAGAACATAAGACTCTTAATTCTGATTTATATGGTTTTCCTACTTAATACATCATTTCAATATCCCCCCTTTTTTTTGCTCCTTCAGCCATTTATTTCTTTAGTTTGCATTCAATGCAAATCAACTACAAAACATGAGAAGTTACTATGACTCAAAGCATAAATACACAAACACAATATTCAACCCAAGCTGATATGCAACATTCAGATAGGAAGCAAAAGAGATTGTTCATGCATACACACAATAGCTTAGGTCTATCTGATCTGGCGTTCTTGTGTAGGTTTCTAAAGATCTGGAAAAAAATGACTTCGGTTACCAAGACTATTGTGGTTCTATTAGATACAACATGTAAGCATCAGTGTGTGACCATGTGGAAACCTCCCAATACTGTCAATTTGATCACTCAGTCTCTGCCATTCCTTAGAAGACATCAGCTCTCCTAGCAGTCCCACCCTACCACCCTGAGTCTAATTTCCCCCCCATCCTTCAAGGCTCAAAATCTCTCAGAAAGTCACTTGTTCTCAAATCTCAGAACCCACATTGCATCTCTGGACAAGTGTTGTCATAAACTGTTAAAACTTTTTATCTTCTGAGCACGAGTTCTAGGGAACCATCCTGTCCCTATTCCTTACCAGCTTTTGATGCACCCACAAGATTCTGCACTTCTCCCACAGTAACTGTTACATGAAAGTATAATTATTTTGGGGAGAGATAGCATCCAGTTTGTACATTACAAGGCACCTCAAATTTATTATATACAGGCTAAGGATGTAGCTCTGTGGCACAATGCTCGCCTAGCATGTGTGAGGCGAAAGCCACAAACATACCTATACACCAGATAGATATTTTCATTCTATAACTCAACAGTGACAACTCACAATCAAACCAGCCTTGTTTCACCTCCTTAGTAAACCTTCAATTTCTGAAGGTTTACTAAGGAAACCTTCCGCCGTCACTCACTCTAACCCTACTTGTCCTCTATTTTTGCTCTGACTTATTTTCTTCTTGTGCTCTGAATCACGTCCCAAAATGAAAATCTGAACATATATTCTAATGATTTCTCTAGATTAAAGACAAAAATATTTAAAAGTGTTTAAATCTCCTGTTTCTCAGGGAAGCGTCCTGATTCCTACCATTAAGCCAAATACTATTACGATACATCTTCACAGAACCAGGTTACCATGGCACTTTTGTAATTTCATCATTCATCTGTACTCATTGGTTAATACCTGTTTCTCTATGCTACAAGCTCCACCAGAGCAAGAAATGCATCTGCGCAATGCTAGCACTGCGCCTCGCACACTGAAGTTATTCAATAAATGCTTGCTGAATGCACGAAGTTCTCTCTTCACTATCCTCCCCTTCACTTACATCCCCATCGCCGACCTGGGCCCATTAGTGTGCTTCAGGCTTAGAAAATCTGGCTAATAAACAAATGATGTGAGGGGAGAAATAAAGAAGAGATGATGTGTCACAGGCCAGGACGGCACAAGATGAAGCCCTGAAGGCAGAAGTTTACTACGCCTCTTGCAGTGAGTGTTGCCGAAAAGCCCTTCTCGAAGGCGATTTTGCCTGCAAGACACCGAGTCCAGCCAGGCAAACATTCCGAGCAGCTCTACAACCCCTTGACCTCGTGTCTCTTCACACACACGCGCGCGCACACACACACACACACACACACACACACACACACTTCCGATTCAGGGTCACTCACATGCGTAGAGGTTTCTGAGCCATTAGTTCCAGTATCTTACGATGGGACAACCACCTACAATACGGAACCTGAATCCACGCTAAGAAAATGCCTCGGCGCTATAATATGACGTAGGCGAACCTTAGCCAATGAGAATGCAGTGTCTACGGAGAGCGCCGAGGCACAGAACTATTTTGCTTGGTTTCGCTTTGAGCAGAGGAAAAGAATAGAGGAAACAGGAAATGAACAAAAGAATATCATCAATAAATACCGTTCCATCCCAAGCAATTGAGGTTAGTCAGCTGCAGGTAATTTCCTGACACAATGTTGAGCCCAAATCTAACCTAACCGAATTGGTTTAGTGAGCGAGGCTGACCCGCTTCATTTACTTTCTTTTTTTTATGAAGTTTTAAACTTATCACCCATTTAAGAGTAATGCCTATCACCTTGATTCAGTGTCAGCACGTTGCCAAACTTGTGCATGTTCTTTTGTTCTCACGGTGCCCGAGCATTATTTTCGTGGAGTGTATTGAAAGTGCAGCCATCAGTAGTGTCTCAGCTTGTCTCTTAGTAAGGCCAACACTCAGTTGCTGTGGTGCATGCCTGTAATCTCAACTCTGTGAGGCCAAGACAGGAGAATCCTAAATTCGAGCCCAGCCTGGACAATTTAGGATGAAGACCCTGGCTTCAAACCCCAGTGCCAAGATAATTAAAAAAAAAAAAAAAATTATCAAAAAAAATAAATAAAAATAAAAGCAAAAAAAAAAAAAATCAGAATGAGAACATTACCATCCTCTGGTAACCACAATACCGTTAACATATCTAAGAAAATTGACCTTTATTTAATAACATCACCTATAACATATCCATAGTTAAAGTTCTCTAGTTGTTCTCTCAGGTTGATTTTATACCTTGGATTTATTTTCATTCAAGAATCAATCAGGTTGCATGCTTTTCTTTGGTTCTCTAGTCTCTTAAAGCTACAACCTTTTACCTGGACTTTTCTAAGTGCTGGCTAAGTAGTAGGAGACAACGTATACAATGAGGAAACAGAAACAAAGGAGAGTTTCTGACAGTTAAAGGACATCCTAGTAGGAGAAAAGTAAATGCAAGTTTAAGCAAGAACTCCCAAAGCTTTTGTGCGTTTTCTTCACAATTGTGCAATGCTTTCAGGGAAAGTATTAACAGCTTTACTCATAAATATGGATACCTTTATTAGCACAATAAGCATGCATTTTGGGTTTTTTTCCCCCTGCTTTTTAGCTAATACAGCACGGGCCAAAAATGGCACTGAAGACTGCAAGTTTGTCAAATACTTTCAGGCAATAAATCTAACATGAGGAAGTTAACAGTAAAATATGGAAACTCACCTATGGAACTCTGTACTATCTTTGCAAATTTCCTATATATCCAGATTTGTTTGTGAATGCTCATCTGTGAAAACAAGGTATCTAAAGATAGCTGAACATATTATAAACATAGGAGTAGGAAATGGAATTTTTTTTCAGTAGAGGCCTTGTATATATAATGATAGTAAAAAGTTTGGCCTTTTCAGAAGCTATGAAGTCACAAAAGGATTCTAAACAGTAGTGTGGGAAGTTCACATTTCAAAGATTGCTGTGGCAGCAGTGTGGAAGATGGGTTAGGACAGCTGAGAAAGGCCCATAGTAGTACAAAGGAGTGAAGGACAAGTGATGTGGTAGGCAGACTTTGTGAGAAAAACAGGAAACAGCAATCAACTCTTTTGGAAATGGAATTGGAGGCTTCGAACACTCTGCTCTGGATAAGGATGCTTCTCTTCCAAACTGGTTATTCAGTAACTTTCTCATGTTATTATTGTAAAAGGATGACAATCAGCTTCCCTGCAGCACCCCTACCCCCACAGACACAAGTATGAAATATTTTACTTATTGTCTTTTTTAGACAGGGTCTCACTATGTATGCAGTTCAGGCTGGCCTTGAGATCATTTTGGAGCCCAGGCTGGTCTGGAATTGTCCTCCTGCCTCAGCCTCCCAAGTGCTGGGAATACAGGCATGCACCACTACACCTGGCTTGAAATTTTAAAATTATTTTATTTCATGGATGCTAACCCTCATCTTCTCACCTAACATGCATATCCTTGTCTTCAACATATTTTTTTTAGTGGGTGAGGAGGTGGGGAGTGGCGGGGGAGGAGAGGGGCAGCAGCGGCTAGCCAGGATAGCTTTGAACACCATGTAGCCCAGGCTAGCCTCAGATTTGTAATCCCCCCCTCCCCAGTTCCCAGGTGCTAGGATTATAGATGTGTCCTACTGTACCTGGATTTATTGCATTTCAAAAAGAACACATGTCAAGACACCATCCTACCAAGACGTTTCACTCATACAGGAAAAAAATAAAGGGGCCATCCCATTTACCAAGCTATCAAAACAGTCTTTGCAATACTTCTGCTCAGTCAGCTCAGAACCGTTTTTTTTTAACATTTTGTTATTTGCCATGTTATAGAAAAGTAAATTACTGACATTCAAAAGGTAACAGACTACAAAAACCACATTTTGTTTTCCTTTTTTAATTTACACCCGTTAATAACATTAGTACTATTAAAAAAAAAAACCAAAAAAAAAAAAAAAAACCATTTACACAGGAACTCCAAAACCAGCCACTTAAGAAAATAATAACCACTGCCAGAGAAATAGGTCCTCTCATTCGCTTCTACTGGAAAGCCCAGGTTTATCCTGAACTTCCAGAGAGTGTCTGTATTGAATGGATGATGAAGCGTTCAAGTAATAAGGAGTTGTGTGAATTTCTGGCAGATATTGCCTCACAGAAGGTCCAGGAGTATCCATTGTCCTCAAGTTTATTCAACATTGAGATGTTCCTGGTGTGACCAGCGAGGTTTCCTTTTGAGGAACTTTGATATTTTATCAGCCTCAGAATTCAGATGCTATAAAATATTCTTCCATATTCAAAAGGGCCTTACGCTATAGGAATGTTTTTCACCGCTTCTCCAGCTTCTTATACTTGGCTTCTGCATGGAGAAAAGGAAAGCACTGTCTTTTAACACTGACTCTCACAAAGACACTTTTAGTATTTCCAAACAAGTTCAGATATGCATATTATATTTCTAAAACTTTTAGCTTTGTCACCTGCCCAAACATGCACATCACTGATATGTACAATCTGAAATTAAAGAGTCAACATACCCAGACCCAAAACAAGGTCATTAAATTCTAACCATGTCAATATTGCACCTGCTTGAAAAGCTTCATCAAAATTGAGCAGATCTCCTGGTACTTGACTTATCTGAAGTCTTACTAAATACCAGAAACTGCCTTGTCAGGCAATCGCAAATGCCTTCTGGAATCAGACTGGAATACTCAGGATGAATACATGTATGTTTCCCCTTTTATGTTCTTATCCTTATATCTCAATCCCAGGAAGCAATTTTGAAAGATAAAGAGAATTTTTAAAGGCGATCAAATAAGCCTCTTGCTGTGACAGATTTTTTTTTTTTTTTCCATTTAAAACTAAAAAGCACGTGGTGGTCCGGCACTTGGGTGGCTGAACCAGGAGGACTGTGGCACGTTTGAGGCCAACCTGTACTACACAGCAAGATCCTGTCTCAAAAAAACAAAAAAAAAACCAACCAACCAACCAAACAAACAAACAAAAAAAACCAACCAAAAACTGCATGGTGAGCTGTCTTCTACATGGTAAGGTTCACAGCAGTCAAAGAAATTAACTGTTTCTCACTATAGATATTAAATTTAAGCTGGCTACACACCACTTGAAGTAGTCACCAACTGTCACTGATGCAAATAATGTGCATAGGATAAGAACAAATTCATTACTTTTTACCAGGAATATAATAGCCAGAGCCAGTCAACAACACTAAAAGTATTAGTTTTCTTCTGAAAGTAAAAGAAATTCTTCCAAAAAAAAAAATTGTTTGACTATTCCATTTTAAAGACATATGTGTGTGTGTGTGTGTGTGTGTGTGTGTGTATATATATATATATATATACCTTATTAAAGATGATTTAGTATACTGAACCATGATTAAAAGCTTGAGCATTGTAATCAAATAGTCCTGACTTGGAATATGGCTCTTCCATATGTTTTACTGGCTTTGTGTCCTTAAGGAAGTTATTTAGCCTCTTAAACAACATTTTCTTCTCCTATAGTATGGGAATAAAAATGCTATGTACTTAACTCACAAATTATTAGGAAAATAAAATACTTAACACTTGCAAAACAGTAAGAATACTATCCGGCAGGCCATTAAGTATTTGGGAAATGTCATTTTTAATAATTATTCATTAGATTTTAACAGATCAATGTATGCACACAACAAATGCTACATTAGTTAAGGACATCAATAGCAAGATGGACTCTTTATGAAATTAAACTAGAAAAAATAAATGGTTACCCAGTTTTTTTGAATATGCATCCAGCTTGTAGGCCGCCTGTTCAAGTGCTGCTACCTGTTCCTCAATTACGTTTATCTGATCCAGGTAAGGCTGTAGTCCAGCATCTTTAAAGACAAACCACGTTTACATGTTTTCAACAAGAAGTGTAGAAAAAAAGCAGAAATGAAGAATGTTAGTGTCTCTTCAGCTACGAGTCAGACTAGGTAGAGTGACATGATTTTCACCATTGGCAGAGTAGAGGACTTCTTAGAAGACAGTACCTCATAATTGGGCACAACTGTGACCTAGTCTAAGTTTTCCATTCTACTGATATTCCTTTTTTTTAAAATTTCTTATTCCTCAGTCTTTCTTTACTGATTCAATTTCCTGGGTACTGCCACACTGAAGAAGGCTGAGCTAGTGCAATGATGGAGAATCTTTTAGAGCTTTCAAAGATATTGCTTGCTGCAGCACGCCTGCCGTAAGTTGGCCACAGCTCTAGTATTAAGAAACACAAACAGAAATCAGAAAACACAAAAATAAATCCAATTATATTCTAAATTAGCCTTTTCCATTTATAGATTGTTTTTCTGTTTATAGAGTAGTCCTTTATGGATTTCATTGTAAATCAGTTCACTAGAACCTAGCTACCCCTCTTCTTCCAAACATTCCAGGACTAAATTGATAAAATCAAGATTGGTAGGGAGAAAAAACCATACTATCATGCTAATCTTCAGAAGGGAAGAAATTCATCTTGATTTTGTAATTCATTTTTTAGCAAAGGTGTCCTCAGGAAATAGGGATGCAGTGTTCTCTCTCTTTTCATTGGCTCCAAGGACAAAAGAACATTTAATACAAACACCTTTAATTATAAAAAGTATTACTTACACTTCTGGTTTAAGTCCTTCAAGTTTCTACTAATGTTTATAGCAATATCTTTCATTTCCAGATACTTCAAGCTGGTTAACTTATTCATGTTTTCCAGGAGCTTATAGTCTTCACTGGTAGCTTTAAAATAAACAGAATAAATGATGCCTTTGAGATTTGACTTAGATTACTGGAATATGGAATATTAGGTCAAGCAGTAATTCAAGGCAGGACAAGACAATTCTTCCTCTTGTGCTCTTGAGTGCTTCTGATCCCAAACCTTTTGTCTCTTCAGACCTCTCTTCAGTAATCTCAGTTGCCTTTCCAACCTGTCTCTCCATGCTGACGTTATTTCCCTCAATCTAGAAATATATTTAGGTTTCCTCCAACTCCAAAGCACTCTTTTTACTCATTCTACATACCTCATTTCCTCAGTAAGGCCAAGGATCTTCACTGCTAGAGACTTTTAGATAGTAGATGGCACTACTACCTGTACTTTACCACTCACTCATGTAAACCACTGTCTGTTCTCTGCCCCCACCGTCCAGAGAAATTACAAGTTTTAAGGTCATTAATGCACCAAACCCATGGCATTTTCTAAGAGCTTATCTTCCTGTATCTCTCCATTGTCTCATCCCCTACTGTTATCTTCTCTTAGGGAAATCCTCATTTCCCTCAGCTCCTACAGTATTTGTGCACGTGTGTGTGTGTTGTCGGGGGGGGGGTTGTCTCATTTTATAGTTCAGGCTGCCCTTGAACTGTGTAGCCCAGACTGGACTCAAACTCATGGCAATCCTCCGCCTCAGCCTCCTGAGTGCTGGTATTACAGGCCTGTACCACCATGTCTGCCAGCTGCTATATAATTATACTACACTTATTTTCCAATCCCTTTCTGACTGTTCTTCTTAGGTTTCTATGCCAGATGCTTTCTCATTCTTTAACCATTAGCTCTCAATTTCTCAGCTATGACACATACCTGATATTTACATTTACCTATATTAAATTCCCAGTAGGGGGACAGCAGGGTTGAATGGGATTTCCACAGGTCTACTGGCATCTATCTATCCTCATGGACAGTCCCAAGTTCATTTATTTATTTATTTTTTTAACCTACAACAATACATATGTTATAAATTTTCAAAACAAGAGTAGTTGATTAATAATGGTTGATATATTATCTATTTTTATCATCAAATCAGTTGCACAGATTAACAGATAAGTTATGTAAGATTTGACATATGATTGAATATTACCACTTGCTTTCAAGAAAGCTTAAATTTTTGTTGGCTCTTTACCTTTTTTACCTTTTTTAAAATTTATTTTATAGAGAGTATAGTAATAATTCATGTGACATTAGAAATGATCCACGTTTAGAAGACCAAGATGACAAGTATTCAGGCATTGTTTTTATATTACACTTTGCTGTCCTTGATGTAGTTGCTTACATCACAGATATCAGCAAACAGAGGTATTCAAGGTGAAAATTCTACACATTAACTGCTATTTTTAAAAAACTGAT